CGACGTCAAATTTGAACTTTGTTCAGATTTGGTTGGTATTTCAAATCAAGTCCTTAAGGGACTTTTGAACACTATGATTTTCGCTTTTTTTGATGATTGAAGGTTACGTTGCTGAATATTGTTTTCATCCCAATGTGGAGTTTGTTGAATATGCTCCAAAAACAGTCATTTTTCCTTGTTCTCTAAGGAAACATTTTTACTTGGGTTATCTATATCTATGTTTTAGAGTAATATTAGGATTAACATTTATTCTCCTATATAAAGGGGTGTTCGATGATATTTTCTGGTCATCTCTTTTCCCGCTTTATTCAAAATCGTTAGCCATTGTAACCTTTTCAATTAAAGAGATTAATAGATAGTGTTCTTCAAGTGAGTTTTCCCGATTTTAGGTTTTCCACTATAAATCTAGTGTTCAATTCCGTTATCGTTTATGTTTTGTTTATAACAAAAATATCCCTAGGCTTGAACATTTTCTTGTTTTCAAGGAAAACAACAATTGAGACAAACGAAGAATATGAAAATAAGTAAGAAAAAATAAAGAATCCCCAAAGTAGATAACAACACAACATGTTTAATCGAATGCTAACTTACACCTCATGTATATGACAAATGTCCCACCATATTGAAACAAAAGATTGCACAAAGGAACGAAAAATCATTTAAAACATGTTAGGAAGAAATGTATAGAAATACACGCTATTTCAGTTAACATGTAGCCGAATGTTGCAATAAAAAATGGTGGGCTCGCAATTTTCATCCAATCAGCAGTGTTTTAATGGGGCTAGTGTATATGCTTAATGATCGATCTATAGGGTTCAATTATACCATAATTTTGCCAAAGTTTTCAATCTTGATCACAATAGCATACAAAACATCAACGATAAGGGTTTTAGTTGGTTATAACATAGGCTTGGGCAAAGATAAGGTTATTTAAAATAGGGTAATGATGATATTCCAAATCAAAGTATTTAGATACAAAATTACAACTCATAAAGCAAGTACAATTAAAATATACTAGCCAATTGATAGAGTTAATTTTACGTAAACCACAAAAGTTAAAGACACAATCAATTGCATCTTTCAATGGTCTGATGAAGATGATAACGAAGATGATTTTATTTTTCAATTTTCAAACTTATATAAACAACTTTTTAGAAATAGAGAGTAAGATTATGTTTAGTGTAAAATCTTTGGAAAGTTATTAGTTATTTATAGTAGCTGAAAAAGAAAAAAATCACTTTATTTTAACGAAAAAAAAAAAAGACAAAACTTCAAAAATGGTCCTTGTGGTTTCCTAAAATATCAAGTTTAGTCCCTAAGTTCAAAAAACCTCACAGATGGTCCATGTGGTTTCAAAACTTTTAATGTTTAGTCCTTCCGCCTAACTCCTTCAGCTTTCTACCGTTAAGTGAGGGGTATTTTCGTCATTTCAATATCCGGGGACCATTTATGAGGTTTTCTCTTATTATCTTAATTTTTTTATTAAAAAAAAAGAAAAAATGAAAGAAATTTGATCTCTCTCTCACTCTCACTCACTCACTCTCTCTCTCTCTCTCTCTCTCTCTCCCCATTGCTTTGAGACTTGTACAGTACGTATTCTTATAACTTCATCTTCCC